AATCACCCGAGAAGCGCCGGGCCGCGACCTGCCGTGAAGTCCGCGAGCGTTACACGGCGGAGGACGGCAACGCCAACACCGCGAACACGCAGTACTCGCACTGGAAAGCGGACTACGACAACCGCGTCGCCAGCAGCGATCCGGAAACGCCTTCCACGCCCGGCGACGTCGACCCGCGGCCGCTCAAGGTCGCGCCGGACGGCCGCCTGCTGATCCCCGCCGACATGCGGGAGGCCATGCAGCTCGGTGACGGCGGCCACGTGATTGTAAGCGTGGAGGCCGGAGAGCTTCGCGTCGTCGACCAGTTCGTCTCCATCAGACAGGTCCAGGCTCGCATGCGCAAGTACAAGAAACCCGGTGAGAGCGTAGTCGATCGGTTTCTTGCGGAACGGCGGGCCATGTGGGGCGAGGAGTGAGCGTCGTATTCGACAGCTCGGCGCTGCTCGCGATCGCCTTCGGCGAGGATGGCGCCGCAGCGGCGCGGGGCGCCGCCGTGGATGCAATCATGTCGGCCGTCAACGTGACGGAGGTGATCACCAGAATGGTCGATGAGGGCGCCAGCCACGAGGAGGCTCTCAGGTCGCTGCACGAGATCGGTCCTGCAATCCGACCATTCGACGAGTCGCTGGCGCTCGCGGCCGGCTTCCTGCGCGCAAGAACGCGGCAGTACGGCCTGTCGCTCGGTGACCGCGCATGCCTGGCTCTCGCCATCCGCGAACGCGCCACGGTCGTCACCGCGGACAACGAGCGTGGTCGAAGCTCGACCTGGGCATCGACGTCAGGTGATCCGGTAGCGACGGAAGCCCTTTCCGAACAGCGCTTGCGCTAGACACTACTAAAGTGCACCATAAGCACAGTGTGTAAGTATGCACTCGCCGCCGTGCCGGGCGATGAGCAAGGAGCGCATCACTATGAACAGCAAGTACGGCCCGCTCGAGTCTCACCTGCGTGATTCCGGACGGACGCACATGCCGCTGACTTTCGGCGAAATCGAGCACATCATCGGTGCGCCGCTGCCGCCGGCAGCGTTCCGGCACCGCGCTCTCTGGAGCAACAACGCCAGCAACTGGGTCGGGACGAAGGCCTGGCTTGCCGCCGGGTATGAGACGGAAAACGTCGACATGCAGAGCGGCAAGCTCGTATTCCGTAAGTCCGTGGCGGCCGCGCCGCTTGCTGCCGCCGAGGACGGCTTGCCCGCCGAAGAACGCAGCGGCTCATTCGCTCGCGTCTTTGGCGCCCTGAAGGACACGGTGACGATCTTCCCGGGTACGGACCTGACCGATCCGATCGACGAAGACTGGAGCGCCGGGCGGTGACAGCCGCGTGACCGACTTCCTGCTCGATACATGCGCCGTAATCTGGACCGCGCACGGCGATCCCCTGCGCGAGCCGGCCGCAAGCGAGCTGCAAGACGCCTACCGACGCGGGGCGCGGCTGCTCGTGTCCCCCATTTCGGCATGGGAGATCGCGATGCTCGCGGCAAAGGGAAAGATCGCTCTCACGCTCGATCCCGCTCTCTGGTTCGAGCGTTTCTGCGAGTTGCCCTCAGTAACGCTGGCCGCGATGCCAACGTCGGTGCTGGTTGCATCGACCACGCTGCCGGGGACACCGCCTCACGATCCGGCGGATCGCATCATCATCGCAACGGCGCGCGCCTTCGGGTACATGCTCGCGACGCGTGACGCGAGGATCCTGGAGTACGGCGCCCAGGGCCACGTCCGCGTCATTGGCTGCTGACGCGGCGGCAGGAACTGGTGCCTATTCCCAGGCTCCGGCGCTGGGAGCCGCAGGCTGTCCTAGGATCCACCCTTCGATTCGCGTCGTGTCGTCATCCGGCTCGCCGGACGGGCGATTGCCGAGCGCAACGTCCAGCATGCCGAATAGGCCGACAACGGCGTCGAAGCGGTCTTCGCCGTCGGCGCCCGTGCCGAAGCCGTCCGCGATCGTGGCGCCGAGCCGACTCGTCAAATGCACGCGGTTGGTGCGCGCCCAGGCCTCCAACGATCCCGCGTCTGCTGCACGATCCGCCTGACGGCGCTTCGACCGCCCATTCCCACGGACCGCAAGATCCAGGTGCCTATACACCTCTGCGGGGTAAGTCTCCGCGACAACCACACCAGGTCGAGCCAGAAGATCGGCCAGACGGCCATCGAACGGCCAGATCGAGGGTGGTGATTCGCTCCTCATTGCAGGTGTGAGCAGGTCTCGCCAGCCTGTGATCGCCGCCCGTCCCACCTGCTTGGGACCAACGAGCCAGAAGATCGCTTCCGCAGGGCCCCGATCCGGGTGTAGATCGCAACGGCGATACAGTTCGCGGGCGCTCTGCATACCCAATCCCGCAACTAGATGGTGCTTGCGAGTGCCGCCCGGTCGCTGCGGATAGAAAGGTCGAGTAACAGAGACGGCCTGTTGCGCCGGCGCCGGACTGAAGAACTCGCACCAACGGTCGCGGCCGAACCCGGACAGCGCGTGGCGGAAGTCCGTCAGGTCGGCCTTGTTGCCGTAGCTTGCCGGCAGCCCAATCGGGAAATCGAAACCGCAGAGGACCACGGCGTCAGGACCGGCCCGTCCCCGCAGCCGGCTGAAGTACGTCGAAAGGTCTCCAACCAGCTCCGGAGCATTGATACGATAGCGACCGTCAGCGTCGAGGACGGCAATCGCGCACCACCGCTTTTTTGCGTCCGTACTCCAGTCGGCGTGAGCAATGAGCTTCGGCTGCCGGTCAACTCGCATGCCGCCACGGATGCCGCGCCGGGCCTCAGAAGCCGCCGACGTACGGCAGGCCGGCGCCGACGCGGCGGACGGCGTCGAAGTCGTCGAGGAGCATACCGGTGGCGTCCCATTGGCCGGTCAGCAGCGATTCGCGGACGCCGGCGGGCATGCCGACCGGCAGCGTGCGGCCGGCCGCGCGATCGACAGTGTTTCGATGTTCAGGACCATACCGGCCTCCGGGTCGCGCTCGGCGGCGGCTATCAGGAATTCGATGTCGCCGGCGGCCGCGGTGGCGCACGGCAGGCCGATGGTGGTCGCGTTGCCGAGAAAGATCTCGGAGAACGACTGGCCGACGCACGCCCCGATGCCGCGGCGCTTGAGCGCCTGCGGGGCATGCTCCCGCGACGAGCCGGAGCCGAAGTTCTCGTTGACGATCAGGATCGAGGCGCTGGCGTACGCTGGATTCGCGAACGGATGGTCCGGCATCGAGCGGCGGTCGTCCTCGAACGCATGCGCGCCGAGACCCTCGAATGTGATCGACTTGAGGAACCGCGCCGGGATGATCCGGTCGGTGTCGATGTTGTTGCCCCGCAGCGGGATGGCGGTTCCCTCGATGCGATCGATGCGGCGGTCGCCGTCGTCCGTGGCGCTCATCGGTACTCCTGCTGGCGGGACGCGCTCGGCCTAGCCGAGCATCCCGCGCACGTCGGTCACCTCGCCGGCGACCGCGGCGGCGGCGACCATGGCCGGGCTCATCAGCAGCGTGCGGCCGGTCGGGCTGCCCTGACGCCCCTTGAAGTTGCGGTTCGACGACGACGCGCAGACCTCGCGGCCCTGCAGGCGGTCCGGGTTCATCGCCAGACACATCGAGCAGCCCGCCCCGCGCCATTCAAATCCGGCCTCACGGAAGATTTCGTGCAGTCCCTCCGCCTCCGCCGCGCGACTGACGTTCTTGGAGCCGGGCACGACCAGCGCCTTTACATGCGGCGAGACCCGCTGCCCGCGGACGACGCGCGCCGCCTCGCGCAGGTCGGAGAGCCGCGAGTTGGTGCACGAGCCGACGAACGCCACGTCCACGCGCGTTCCCCGAATCGGGGCGCCGGCCGCCAGCCCCATGAACTCCAGCGCTTCGCGACCGCGTCTGCATCAGCGCCGGCCTCCGCGGGGTCGGGAATGCGCTCCGAGACGCCGACCGACTGGCCCGGGTTGATGCCCCACGTCACGCGCGGCTCGATCGCGTTGCCGTCGCAGCGCCACCTCGTCGTCGTACGCCGCGTCGGGGTCCGACGCCATCGAACGCCACCATGCCTTCGCGCGGTCGAACGCCTCGCCGCCGGGCACGAACGGCCGGCCGGCCATGTACTCGAAGGTGGTCTCGTCCGGATTCACGTAGCCGATGCGGGCGCCGCCCTCGATGCGACATGTTGCACATCGTCATCCGCTCGTCCATCGTCATCCGCTCGACCGCCGCGCCGGCATACTCGTACGCGTACCCCACACCGCCCCGCACGCCGAGCCGCGCGATGATCTCGAGGATGACGTCCTTCGCGTAGACCCCCGCGGCCGAGCGCGCCGGATACGGCGATGCGCCGCACCTTGAGCGGATCGATGGCCAGACACTGCGAGGCCAGCACGTCCCGCACCTGCGACGTGCCGATGCCGAACGCCACCGCCCCGAACGCGCCGTGGGTCGACGTGTGGCTGTCGCCGCAGGCGATGGTCATGCCCGGCTGCGTCAGGCCCGAGCTCCGGCCCGATGACGTGCACGATCCCCTGCCGGTCGGTGCCGAGATGGGAGAACCGGATGTCGAACTCCCGGCAGTTGCGCTCGAGCGCCGCCATCATCTTCTCGGCCAGCTCGTCGGCGAACGGCCGCCGCTGGTCCAGCGTCGGGACGATATGGTCGACCGTCGCGTAGGTGCGCTCCGGAAACGCGACGCGGGCGCCGCGCTGGCGCAGCATGTCGAACGCCTGCGGGAGGTGACCTCGTGGATCAGGTGCAGCCCGATGAACAACTGGGTCTGCCCGGTCGGCAGCCGCCGCACGGAGTGGAGATCCCAGGCTTTCTGGAGGAGCGTCCTGCCCATGGCGAGATTGTACCGCCTCCTACCGGCGGTGGGCATCCTCCGCGAGCCGGACGAGCTCGTCGCCGGCAGCGCGGCGATTGTCTCGCCAATCAGGTCCAAGGGGAGGTCGTCGAGCTTGCGGAACCGCACGCACGCCTTGCCCGCGTCGAAGCGCTTGCCGGTCGCGCGGTACGCGGCTTCGAACGCGTTCCCGCGCCCCGGGCGAGGTGTAGATGCCCATGAGGTGCACGGCCATGTACCGTTTCTGGGCGGCGAGCGCGGCGTACATCAGCGGCTGGCCGTTGTAGGTGTCGGGACAGGTTTCGAGCGGCACCTGCCAGGTGATCATGCCCCAGTTCATCGCCTCTTCGTACCCCGGCGGAAGATGGTCGTTGATCACCCGGCGCACCGTCTCGAGCGCCGTCCGCCGATCCTCCGGCAATTCCCGGAGGTAGTCGGCAACGTTGGGCGCGGAGGATCGCATCGGCGCTAGGAGTTCGTGGTGAAACCCCGCGTCGCACCGAGACCGGTCAGGCGCCGGGCTGACAAGGCGTGACGAGGGAGCATATTGGGCATATGCGAGCGAGGAACAACGCAGTTCAGGCCGGATGCATGGACGGTCGAATGCAGCGGGGGTTTCACCACGGGCTCCTAGGCGCGGTCGGATGCCGCGGCCTGGGCGCGTCGGAAGTAGCCTTTCGCGTTGATCCGCGCGCAGAAATCGAAGAACCGGGGTTGCGGCCCGGTCCAGCGCAGCTCTTCTACTGCGTCGAACACCGGCACATTCGTGCGCAGGGTGGCGAGGTCCCGAAAGAGCGCCGCGTCGTCCCGGGCGCCGGCCAGCGCGCCGGCCAGCCGGGCGGCGCCGCGCACCTTCACGTCCCAGGCCGCCGCATCATCGGGAATGTCTTCGAGGCGCCCGTAGCGGGCCAGCACGGTCGCGGCCGACTTGGCGCCCCACCCGCGCACGCCCGGGAACCCGTCGGCGGAGTCGCCCATGAGCGCCAGGTAGTCCGGAATCGATGCCGGGTCGACGCCGAACTTCTCCCGCACGCCGTCCGCGGCGCGCACGACGCCGGCGCGCCGGTCGAACTGCACGACGCGGCGGCCGGCGACCGTCTGCGCCAAGTCCTTGTCGGGGGTGCAGATGAACACCTGCTCGACGCGCCGGTCGGCCGCGGCGCGGACGGCCGCCGAGGCCAGCGCATCGTCGGCCTCGTGCCGCTCCATCTTCCAGACGACGACGCCGAGCGCCTCCAGCGCCTCTTCGAGCGGATGGAACTGGCCGAGGATCTCCGGCGCGATATCGTCGCTGTTCTTGTATCCGGGCCAGAGGTCGTTCCGAAACGACTCCACGACGTGGTCGGTGGCGACCCCGATGTGGGTCACGCCCTCTTCGAGCATCCCCAGCAGCGATCCGACGACGCCACGCACGGCGCCGATCTCGACGCCGCCGACGTCGGTCCTGCGCGGCACGGCGAAGAAGTGCCGGAAAAGCTCGTACGTGCCGTCAACCAGAAAGACGTTCACGCCGACATTCCGGCACGGGCTGCTAGTCCTGCCCCTGGCTGGCCTCCGACTGCCGGAGCTGGTCCCACTTCTGCTGCGTGCCGGGCTGGCGTATGTTCAGCTCGCGCGTGGCTTCCGCCAGCGACTCCTCCTCGTTGGCGCGACCGCCGCTGAGGGCGTTCACCATGCCGTAGTTGTGCTCGTGACACACGTACTCGTATTCGGGGAACGTCCCGGCATCGCGGTTCTTGACGGTGACTGCCGTCCAGGGCCTCACGAATACGTTCGGATCCTCGAACGTCGAGCGGTATTCCATCGACTCGGCGTCGATGCGCGTGAACCGTTCGACCAGCCGCAGCGTTTCGCCGGTTCCCGCATAGTTGTGGGAATGCCCCGTCCCGAAGAGGCCTCCGTGAGCCGGCAGCGTTTCGCCGGCGTGCCCGTCATTGAAATTGGTGGTTTCGACAACCAGCGTGTCGCCCTCCCACCGGCCGCGCGCGTCCCCATACCACTGGCGAATGCGCTCCCCGAGTTGTGGGCGCCCGTCCAGCGGGACGATGCGAAACACCCGGTCGCCGGGCGTGAACCATTGGACCACGACGTATCCGGGCGCCTGCATGATGCTGGTGTAGCCGCGCAGGAACACGCCGTTGCCCACGGGCTGCGAGATACAGCGCTCGCCGAGGCCTCGATCCTCCCAGGAGTCGGCCTGGCCGCGATGCGCCCTCTCTGCTTCCCGCGCGTCCCACATCGCCAGCGCCTCGCGCGTATACGAAGGCAGTTTTCCGTCCGGTGGATCCACGATCTGCGACGTGCGCAGGGACGTCCTCCGCGCGCTGACCGGGGCGTTCCAGAAGGCGTTGTATTCGTTGCCCACGATGGCCCTGCCGGGGCGGTCGTCGGGCACGGCGACGGATGCGGCGTTGCGCGCATCGTCCGCGGCCGCCAGATTCTCGACGATTTCATCCGCGTCGCCCTCCGGGAGATTCAGCGTGGGGGTCCCGCTGGTCGTCTGCGGGGTTTGGTTTGCGCGTGCGGCGGCTTCCTCCTCCGTCATGAACTCCCTGTCCCCGAACTCCTCCGACCGTTCCAGCGGTACGCGCTCGAGCGTCTCCCAGGTTCCCTGCAGGTCGGGATCACCCCAGGCAGTCCGGGGCAGCTCCCCCGCCACCGCCGAATCGGCGGCCCCGGCCGTGTCGGCCGGCGGCTGACCGCCGCACGCCGCCAGCCACACGATGGCAAACAAGGCGGCCGGCAACCCTCTTGGTGCGAACAGTTGGTGCCTCATCTCAATTCTCCTCGTGCATCCCCGGCTAGCTGCCCTTCTTCACGAAGCTGCCTTCCTTCGCCAGGCTCCCGTATACGTATTCCTCGGTAAACGGCACGCACCTGAAGTCCAGGAGCTGGACGTTCCGTTCCAGGCGGCGATAGAGCGGGAAGCTCATCGTCCAGGGCCGCGTGAAGACGTCCGGGTCATCAATCGTCGCTTCGTACATGATCGTGTTGGGACCGGCGGGCGTATAGCTCTCGACCACGTGCAACGCGCTGCTCGTGAAGTTCCCGGCGCGGTCGAGCCAGGTGAGGCCGTTGAACCCGGTCACGTCGACGACCAGCGTGTCGCCTTCCCAATGGCCGTTCGACCAACCCATCCAGAGATCGATCGGCGCTTCTTCATGGTTCTCAAGCTGGATGAAGCGGGAAATGTTGCTGTACCCGAAGACCATCAGGATCTTTTGCGGCATCTGAACGATCTGGAACGGGTAGGGCGTGTACATCGCCCGCGGAACGCCGGGCGCGTAGCACTTGGCTTCCGGATCGCCCACGGTGTGGAGGTTGAACGGGTCGACGGCCAGGCGCTGCGCGTAGTTTGCGTTCCGCTGCTCCAGCGCCTCCGACCTGTACGGCAGCTCGCCGCCCTCCACGATGCTCTGCCCCGCGGGCTGGGCGCCCCACGCGCCGAGCAGGGCCGGAAATGGTCCGGGCTCGGCGCCGTGGTCCTCGATGTCCCAGTTTGCGGTGGTGAGATTCTGCCAGATGCCATTCAGGTCCGGATGGTCCGTCCCGGCCAGCCGCGGCGCCTGGTAGGCCGCGCCCTCGGTCTGGCCTGCGGTCGAGCCGCCTCCGAGGAGCAGAATGGCTGCCGTTGCCGCCGCGCTCACCGCGACGATCGTCACGCCGCCGAACCAGTTCCTCATCGCGAATGTTCCCCCTCTTCTCACCGGACATCATACGTCCGATCAAGGTTCGTCGATACCTTTTTGATCGCCTCGGAAGTCGATCTGCTGCGTCGGCTTGATGATGCGTCCGGGGAGCAGGTATGGATGTGTGTACCGGCGACAGGAGGATGTTTCAGGTCAGTCCGCTTCCTCCTCCTCCACCTCCTTCAGGAACTCCCCGCTCGGCTTGTGGATCCGGTCGTAGCTGCCGCCGTCGATGACGTAGTACCAGCTGGCGAAGCGGGCCGCCAACAGCTCGGCCTTCTCGCGCCCCTCGCGAACCCTGTTCTCCCACGAGGCGTGCGCGTCGGCATCCGACGCATCCGGCTCGGGCAGCGCCGCCTCATCGAATTCGGCGGTGATGAAGACGTAGCGGTTCTCGCCGCTGCCGGTGTCTTCGTCATCGCTCGAATCGTCGCCCACCGCAACCGCGTCGCCGCGGCCGTAGACGATCTCGCCGAACCGCAGCGTGTACAGCACGCCTTCGTTCGTCCGGACGAGCAACTCGCCCTCGTTCGACAGCAGGCCGCCTCGGCCGTCGGATAGAAGCCGCGGCTCGTCAACGCCTGCACGTCGGACTGCTGGATCTGTCCCTGCTCGAACGCCTCGCGCAGGTTGCCCGAGAGGCCGGGCGGCTTGGGCCGCACGCCGGCGATCTGCATGGTCATGACGGCGCCCACGAGCAGGTTCACCTGGACGGTATCCACCTCCTGGCCGGCAGGCACCTCATTGGCGCTCCAGGTGTCCGTCCCCTCCTTGTGGAGAACGAACTCGCCGCGCCGCACCACGGAGAGCGTCCGCTCGTCGATGAAATATTCGTTGAGGGTGACCTGGTCCACCTGGTCGCGCTCGACTTCCAGCAGGTTGGTCTCGATCCAGTCCTCGAATGCGGTCGAGATGTCCGCCTCGAACCGCGCGGTGTACACCCGTTTCTGGCCGGGCTGCGCGGACGAATCGGAGTCCCGGGCGCCCCGGCACCGGCCTGCCGACCACCAGGTCCGCCAGCACCCGTTCGTCGGCAGCCCTGAACGTCACGCGCGAGCCGCGCCCCTGGAGCGTGATCACCGTGTCGTCCGTCGGATCGACGACGCCGAGCGCCTCGTGGTCGGCCACGTTGTCCGACCGGAAATCGTCCTTGACCACGCTGATGACGTCGGCGGCCGCGTTCGCCAGCCGCTCCGCGCCGTCTGCCGGATAGTCGTGATGCGACGGAATGGTCCACAGGCCGTTCCGATTGGTCACCTTGAACGGTATGGCGGCGGCCTGATCCTCGTCGAATTCGACCACCTCCAGCGTCGCGGCCTCCTCCGGGTCGGCGAACTCCGGAAAGAACGGCTCGCCCACGTCGAAGAACGCGTCGGGTGCGGCGCGCCGGGGCGCGCTCACGATGGCGACGGCTCCAAGGAGGACGGCGATGCCGGCGATGCTCAGCGTCTTCTTCAACTCGCTCATGATTAGTCCCTCAAGCGATGCGCGGCCGCCGCACCCTCCCGCTCGCGGCGCTGCCGGCGCAGCAGAATCACCACGCCCACGACGAATACGGGCACCGGCGGGAGCAGGACGGCAAACGTCTGGATGGACGTCTGGATCTGACGGATCTGCGACTCCATGTTCTCGCGGCTCGCCTGGATCCGGGTCTCCTTCTCCGCTTCGATGTTGGCCGACAGCACCTCGAGCCGCCGGTTCTCCACGCCTTCGAGATTCCGCACCATGATCTGCATGGTCTGCGCGTCGATGTCGGCGCGGCTCCGCAGCTCTTCCACGCGCGCGTCCAGCCTGGCCTGCGCCTCTTCGATGGCCTGCTCGGCGTCTTCCTCGGCCTGCTGCTCCTCCTGCGTGAGCTGCTCGTTGAAACTCGCGGTCTGCGCCTCCACGCGCTCGAGCGTCCTGTGGCGGGCGCGCCGGTTGCGGAGATTGATGAACGAGTCGTCGCCCACCAGCACGTCTATCGCGTTGAGGAAGAACGTGACGTTGTCGAAGTTGAGTCCGGCGATGGCCTGCTCGCGGATGGCGAAGAACTGCTCGCCAACGAAGTCGAGGTCCGCCACGACGATCAGGTCGACCGCGCCGGCCGCTTCTTCGGATACGCCGCCGCCGCCGTCCGCGCCCTCGCTCGCCGACTCCTCACCATCCGCGGCGGCCGGCGGCGCGGTCGAGCGGATGCGGGCCGCCACCACGTAGGCCTGCTCGTCCTGCTCGCGCGGCGGCTCGGGATTGATCTGGGGCCCGAAGGGCGAACTCCGGACGATCGAGAAGTACCCGTTCGTGCCGGACAGCATCCCGGACCGGAGCAGGGGCTGGAACTCGATACCCGCATCTTCCACCGGCTCGACGTAGCCCGGCCAGAGGAACACGAGCTCCTGCAGGCCGGCGGTCACGCTGTCAGCCTCGTTGAACGTCTCCTCGTTCCCGTTGCCCCGGCCGAGAAACACGACGTCATCCGGCATGTGCGCCAGCTCGGGATGCGGGTTGTAACGGTCCCAAACGATGCGGGTCGGCTCCCAGGAAACGCCGAGGTCGGCCATCCACTGCCGCACATTGCCGCGCGGGCCGGGGCGCGCCGAGCCCGGCGGGTAGGCGAACGGGTTGCCGTCGCCGACCCATTCGGTGGGCGAGAGCTGGGGATTGACGGCCGGCATCGGATCGACCAGCAGCATGGCGGGGGTGCCCTTGCGGATGAAATCCGCGACGTTCCCCATTTCGTCGGTCTGCAGCGACGACGGCAGCGGGACGAGCAGGGCGTCGAGCTCCGCCTGGATGGGCTGCTCCGGATCGACCGGGTACACCTCATACTGCTTGCGCAGCTCCTCCACGACCGGCCAGGACGGATTGAACCGGTTCTGCTGGTAGTCGACGCCGCCCATCAGATCCACCATCGTCCGCACGACGCCAATCCGCTTGCGCTCCGTGCCGGCCACGACGCGGATGCTGCGGACCACTTCGTACTCGGTCGGGAGCCCGCGTCGAAGAACGGGATCACCTGCTCCTCGGCGCCGCACGTGAACGCCAGTCCCATGAAGACCTCGGAGACGTTGGCCCGCGTCGACCGCACGTCACGAAACGGGCGCGGCCGGATCCCGAACGTCTCGCGTGCGTCGCGCGCGGCGTCGGTGAACGATTCCGTGTCGTGGACCTGCACCTCCACGCGTGCGCCGGCAAGCGCGTCGATCTCGTCCAGCACGCTGAGCAGGTTCGCGCGGGCCTGAACCAACGGCTCCGGCACTTCCGGGCTGATGTACGCCTGGATGAACACCGGACGGTCAGCGGGCAGATCCCGGATCAACCGCCGCGTTTCCCCGCTCAGTGAATGGAGCTGCTCCGCCGTCACGTCGACGCGGACCCCGGCGCGAGACACGACCACGGCGCCGCTCGTGAGCGCCACGACGACCGCGAGCGCGCGCACCGTGTGGTGCACCCACATCGGGTAGCCGTCCGCCCGTGCCGGCCAGTGGCGGCGCGAGAGGACCAGCACGTTGAGATACAGGAACGCGGCGCCGACCGCGATGAAATACGTCACGGCCGTCAGGCTGATGACGCCCCGGGCGAAATCCTCGAAGTACGTCCCCATGACGATCGCCTGCAGCGCGCGCTCGAGCCCCGGCGCGACCGCGCCGGCAGCCGGCCCGATGACAATCAGAGCCCCGCAGAACAGCGCACCGAGAATGAACCCGATCGTGGCGTTGCGGGTGAGCAGGGACGCCAGCATCCCGACCGCGATCAGCGCCGCCCCCATGAACCAGTACCCGACATAGTTGGCGAACATCAGGCCGAGGTCGGGACTCCCGAGATAGAACAGGACGAACACGTAGCTGAGCGCGAGCACCAGCGAGGCGGTGTAGATGCCGAGTGTCGCCAGGTACTTGCCGAGGACCACCTCCAGGTCGGTCGCCGGCAGCGTGAGCAGCGTCTCGTCGGTGCCCAGCTTGCGCTCCTCCGCCCAGACGCTCATCGTGAGCGCCGGAATGAAGAACAGCAGCAAGTACGGATAGAGGTTGTTGAGCTGCTCCAGATTGGCCAGGTTCTGCAGGAAGAACCGGTCCTGCCAGAACGCCGCGCCCGCGCTGATGAAGATGAACAGCGTGACGAAGACGTAGCCGGTCGGATTGCTGAAGTACATCAGCAGGTCGCGCTTGGCGATCGCCCTGACAATGCTCGTGTTCGGTAGTCCGCTCATGGCTGTTGCCCCTCGATGCTCCCGGCGGCAGGCTCGTTCGGTGGCAGCGGAGCACCGTGATTCGTCAACCGGTAGAACGCCTCCTCGATCGAGCCGTCTTCTTCGAGCTCGCTCACCTGCCCGTCGAACACCAGACGGCCGCTGTTGACCAGGAGCACCCGGTCCGCGACCGCGTCGGCCTCGTGCAGGATGTGCGTGGAGATGAGCAGCGTCTTCGTGTGTCCAAGGCCCTGAATGTTCTCGCGGAACTGGCGGATCTGGTTCGGGTCCAACCCGGCCGTCGGCTCGTCCATGATGAGTACGTCCGGGTCGTGCAGCAGCGCCTGCGCCAGTCCGACGCGCTGCTTGAGCCCGCGCGACAGCTTGCCGACCGGCTTCTCGATCACGAGATGCAACGCGCAGATGTCCACGACCTCCTCGATCCGACTCTTGAGCGCCGGACCCAGCTCGCGGGCCTCACCGCAGAAGGTGAGCAGCTCCAGCGGCGTCATGTCCGGATAGAGGGGACCGTTCTCCGGAAGGTAGCCTAGACGCCGGGACGCCTCGATCCGGCTCGTCCGCACGTCGAAGCCGGCAATGGACGCGCCGCCGGCGCTGGGCGCCAGATACCCCGTCAGCATCCGCATCAGCGTCGTCTTGCCGGCGCCGTTCGGCCCGAGAAAGGCGACTATCTGACCCTGCGGAATTTTGAATGAGATGTCGTGCTGCACGGCCACGAACGGACCGTAGTACTTGCTCAGCCCGCTCGCCTCGATCATCGGACCGCCCGATCCGGAATCCGTCACGCTCATCGCTTCACCTCGGACTGTTATGACGCCCAAGGGACGCCAAAAGCCGCATTATGATTGCACAGGACCACGGAAGGAGCCCGCCGGCCCGCCTGCGTGGGCCCGACGGGTGCTTGGCGTCAAACGGCGGGGACGGGCTGCCCCGGGTCGTTGACGTCGCCGGTGCGGCGCCGCTTGCGCACGAGCGGCCGGCGCGGTTCGACGAACGTGCTCAACCGGCCGCTGCGGGTCGGCTCGCGCAGCTTGCGAAGCGCAGCCGCTTCGATCTGCCGGATCCGCTCCCGTGTCAGAGAGAACTTCTCGCCCAACTCGGCCAGCGTCGGCTCGGCCCCGTCGGTCAGCCGAACCGCATGCGGATGACTTCCCGCTCCTTGGGGGTCAGCGTATCGAGCACCGATTCGGTCTGCCGGCGGAGATCGAAGGCGATGGTCGATTCCGACGGATTGACCGCCTGACGGTCCTCGATGAAGTCGCCGAACTGGCTTTCCTCGCCGTCGCCGATGGGCGAATCGAGCGACACGACCGTCTGGGCGATGCGGCGGGCCTTGCGCACAACGGCAATCGGGAGGTCGGACCGCTCCGCCAGCTCGCGGACGGTCGGCTCGCGCCCGAGATCCCGCATCAGCGTCTGGCCGGCCCGGTTCAGCTTGTTCAAGTTCGATCATGTGCACCGGGATGCGGATGGTCCGGGCCTGGTCGGCAATCGCGCGCGTGATTGCCTGGCGGATCCACCACGTGGCGTACGTGGAAAACTTGAATCCGCGGCGATAGTCGAATTTGTCGACTGCACGCATCAGGCCGATGTTCCCTTCCTGGATCAGATCGAGGAAGGCGAGTCCGCGGTTGGCGTACTTCTTGGCCACCGACACCACGAGCCGCAGGTTGGCCTCGGTCAACTCCTTGCGCGCCCAGTCGGCCTTCCGCGCTCCGCGGTTGATCGCCCGCTGGGTCCGCGAGAGATACTCGGGTGTCTCGCCGATCGCCCGCTGGTGCTCCTCGAGATTCAGGCGCACCGCCCGCTGCTGTTCGGATTCCGCTCCCGGCGCGGCGGCGGGCGCCGTCCGGCCCAGAATCTCGACGCGCCGCTCAGCCTGCCGCAGCGTGGCGATAGCCGCATCGAGACGATTCGAAAATTCCTGCCGCACGTTCGGAGTGAACTCGATGGAGCGCACCGCGCGCGCCACCGCCACCCGCGCCCGGAGCAGGCGCTTGCCGGTGCGCGGCATGATCCGGCCGTACCGCCGCCGGGTAGCTGCGGCCCGGTTCTGGCGGGTCAACAGCTCCTTGTGCAGCGCCGCCACGCAGGCGATCTCGTCGAGCAGCCAGATCGTCCGGTTGGCTACCTGCTGTTCCGTCAGATCCTGGTCGGGTAGTACGACGACCTCACGCAACTCCCGCTCTTCGGTCTTGAGTTGTCGGGCCAGCTCGAGGACATGGCGCACCACGACCAGGTTCTGCGACAAGGCCTTCATGATGCGCCGCTCGCCACGCTCGATCCGCTTCGCTATGGCCACTTCGCCTTCGCGCGTGAGCAGCGGGACGCGGCTCATCTGGCGCAGATACGTCCGCACCAGATCCTGTCCCTGGTCGGTTTCCTCCCCGGCGGGGTGGACCTCCGCCTCGGAGATCACGCGTAGCGGGGGGTGCGGGCGGCTCTCGGCCTCGAATTGGTCGGCGGTTCCTTCTACCTCGATGCCTTGGCTCTCGATCTCCTGCAGCACCAAGGCCATGTCGTCGGACTCGAGGTCCGTGGTGAGGTGCTCAATGACCTGGTCGATGGTCACGAAACCGCGTTCCTGGCCCACGGCGACCAACTCTCGCACCAGATCGTGCCGTTCCTGCATCAACAAATTGGCTCCTCCCGAATTTCCCGGCTCGTCATCAGGCGAACGTGTATGAGGTGGCGGGGCAAACACGGCCCCCTGTGCGTTTTAGACGCAGTCGGCGACCATTTTGTTTCGGAAAACTTTTGCCCATTCTACCAACAATCCGGCCAGAATGCTCCCCCCTTTTTTTCGCGCCACTACCCCTGTACTCGGCCGCACGCGGGCGCCTGTGCAGACCTGGCTGCCCGAGGTGAAACCCCGTGGCGCACCGAGACCGGTCAGGCGCCCGGCGGGCAAGGCAAGAACCTCGCGGTACAAGAGGGGACGACGGAGACAGAAGCAGTCGTCCCCAAGCCGCGCACAGCGCGGCCCGGCAAGCCCGGCGCGGGGCACAACCACATCTAACGGTGAAGTACAGAGGGGACGGCAAGCATCGACGCGGCCGTCCCCAAGCCGCGCACAGCGCGGCTCGGCAAGCGGCGCGGGGCGAAGGGCCCCCGCTAGGGCTTGCCGGGGGTTCGGGGCGCAGCCCCGAGGTGATAATGAGCAGCCGCGGAGCCCCAAGTAACAAAAGCTCAGTACCGGTAGTGGTCCGGTTTGTACGGCCCGTCGGGGGTCACGCCGATGTAGGCCGCCTGCTCGGGCGTCAGCCTCGTCAGCTTCACGCCGAGGTGGTCGAGATGCAGGCGCGCCACCTGTTCGTCCAGTTGCTTCGGCAGCATGTACACCTTCTTCTCGTACTCGCCGGTATTGCGGTGCAGGGCGATCTGCGCGAGCACCTGATTGGTAAACGACGTCGACATGACGAAGCTGGGATGGCCGGTAGCGCACCCGAGGTTGAGCAAACGTCCCTCCGCGAGCACGAGCACGCCGTGTCCGTCCGGAAACCGCCATTCGTCGTACTGCGGCTTGATGGGGATCCGCTCGACGCCCGCGATCTTCTTCAGGCCCGCCATGTCGATCTCGTTGTCGAAGTGCCCGATGTTGCCGACTATGCCTTGTCCTTCATCCGCCCCATCTGCTCGGCCGTGATGATCCCCTTGTTGCCGGTGGCGGTGATGAAGATGTCGGCCGTCTCGATGCGATTCTCGAGGGTGTCGACCTCGTACCCCTCCATGGCGGCCTGCAGCGCGCAGATCGGGTCGACCTCGGTCACGATCACCCGGCAGCCCTGGCCGCGCAGCGACTGCGCGCAGCCCTTGCCGACCTCCCCGTAGCCGCAGACGACCGCCACCTTGCCGCCCAGCATCACGTCGGTGGCGCGCGCGAGTCCGTCGGGCAACGAGTGGCGGCAACCGTACACGTTGTCGAACTTGCTCTTGGTCACCGAATCGTTGACGTTGATCGCGGAAACAACAGCGTGCCGTCGCGCATCATCTCGTACAGCCTGTGCACGCCGGTCGTCGTCTCTTCACTCACGCCGCGTATGGCCGGACCAAGGCGCCGCCAACGTGTCGGATCTGCGGCCTGCGTGTTCCGGAGCAGATCGAGAATCACTTCCCACTCTTCGGAATCCTGCGACGCGTCGAACGCGGGCACCGAGCCGGCGCATTCGAATTCGTATCCCTTGTGCACCAGCAGCGTGGCGTCTCCGCCATCGTCGACGATCAGGTCCGGCCCGCGGCCGTCGCCAGACGAGCGCCTCGGCCGTGCACCACCAGTACTCCGGCAGCGTCTCCAGCCCTTTACAGGCGAACACGGAGCGCCGCGCGGCATCCGCCGTCGCTCTCCGGCGCGCTCGACGGCGCACGCGTCGCGGCGTGGTCCTGCGTCGAGAAGATGTTGCACGAAGCCCAGCGCACGTCCGCCCCGAGATCGGCGAGCGTCTCGATCAACACCGCGGTCTGCACCGTCATGTGCAGGCTGCCCATCACCCGTGCACCGTCCAGCGGCCGCTCGCCGGCGTGCCGCCGCCGGAGCGCCAAACAATACCAGGTATACATCCCTGATCGCCATCAATGATTTCGCTTCTACCGCAACGCGTGGCAAGGCCGATGTACGCCCACCATTGTTGGACACGTCCGCCCTGACCCGGGCGCAGCCGCTTCGAACGAGTTGGACTTCTCCGTGACAACGGTGCTCATGAATCTCTCCTCTCAGCGCTCGGAGCGCCACGGGCGCCGCGACGGAGGCCGGCGGCGTTGCGGGCGGCGAGCGGGCGGCGGGCCGCCCTGCAGCTCGCCCGCCGGCGCGGCCTCGCGGACCATCGCTGGCGGCGCGTGCAGCGTTTCCTGGTAGTAGTCGTCGACCAGCATGGCGATCAACGCCGATTCGTCCTCGTTCCCGGCCAGGGTGCGCGCCAGCGGAACGAACCGCTGGCTGCGCTCGGTCTGGAGCCGGTCGCGCTCGCGCAACCTGGCTTCGAGCAACGTGGTGACCCGCTCGGCGACGATCGCCTGCACGTCCGTATCGGCCGGTGCGCGGCGCTGCTGGAACTCGATGGAGTAGCGTTTGGCGATGGCGTCGAGCGTGAGCGTCTCCGCCTCGCTCACCAGCGAGAGCGCCGTGCCGGGCCGGCCCGCCCTGCCGGTCCGGCCGGCCCGATGAATGTATCCCTCCGGGTCCTCCGGCGGCTCGTACTGAATGACGTGCGACAGCTCCGGAATGTCGAGGCCGCGCGCCGCGACGTCGGTCGCCACCAGAAACCGCAGCGTGCCTTCGCGCACGCGCTTCAGGATCTGCTCGCGGTCTGACTGTGAACGGTCCGCGCTCAGCTCGTCCGCATCGTAGCCGAACCGCTGCAGCACGACGGTGACGTAGTGCACGGCGGTCTTCGTGTTGCAGAATATGATGGCCGACGCCGGGTTCTCGATTTCGATGATCCGGACCAGCGTCCGATCCTTGTCCATGGACGGCACGATGTAGAACAGGTGCTCGGTGTCGGTGACGTGCACCTGTTCGCCGCTGAGAGACAGGAACTCCGGCGCCCGCAGGAACTGTTTTGCGGTGCGCTGCACGAAGACCGGATACGTCGCCGAGAACATGCTGTTGTGCAGCGTGCGGAGCGTGGACGCCGCCAGATATCCCTGGACCGCCTGCATGTCCGGGTAGAAGCCCATCGACAGCATGCGGTCGGCTTCCGTCGAACACGCGCATCCGCAGCGCGTCGAGCGTCAGCGTGCGCCGCAGCAGGTGGTCCAGCACCCGGCCCGGCGTGCCGACCACGATCTGCGCGCCGCTCGCCAGGGCGTCGAGCTGCGGGCCGTAACCGACAACGCCGCCGTAGACGGCAATCGTGCGCAGCCCGGCCGGGGCGCACACGGTTTCGGCGACCTGGCACACCTGCCGCGCCAATTCACGCGTCGGGACCAGTACCAGCGCCTGGCACTCCTGGCGTTTCGGGTCGACACGCTCCAGCATCGGCAGCACGAACGCACCGGTCTTGCCGCTGCCCGGATACTAGCCGCGAACCTGAATCATCATCTCGCGAGGAACCGGCCATCACATGAATACACTGTACCCGCCAACTCGGAACCCCAACTCATCATAAAGTAACCGTCGCGCGAAAACCGTGTGCAATACTGACATCACATCGCAACCATTCCCCATTTTTGCACACCCACAACTTAAGTCGTCTCTTCACCTCGCGCACGTAATGTACGGAATCTAGCCCTGGCTGCAGAACCGCATGAGGCTGGTCCACGCCACGCGGGCGGCGCGCGCAACCCTGCCGCAACGCTATCGGGTAGCTGGTCGAATGTGAGCTCCGGGAGCTCGTCAATCGCGGTGGTCTGCTGCTCGGTAGGTTCGTCAAAGTCTCGGTGCTCCATTCTACACAGCCCGGCGCGTCGCGGAGCCGCGCGGGTGGCCAGGTGGCAGCGCCCGCGGAGGGATTTGCGATGTGACAGTATGCTGTGGGTCCTCGTACCGCATGCTCGAGTGTTGTAGCCAATGCCGCGTAGAGTGTTTCATCCCGCGTGGGGCCTGTTGACGCTGCTCGTTTGCGGGGCAGTCGGACTGTCGGCGCAGGAGGGACGAAACGTGGAGTGGCGGTCGTACGCCGCCGACCTCGCCAGCACCTTCTACTCGCCGGCCGACCAGATCAACGCCGGCAACTTCAACGACCTGGAAGTCGCCTGGCGCTTCTCCACGCGCAACTTCGGCCCGCGGCCCGAGGCGAACCTGCAGTCGACGCCGCTCATGATCGGCGGGGTGCTCTACAGCACCGTCGGCTCGCGGCGGGACGTGGTCGCCCTTGATGCGACCACCGGCGAGCATGCTGTGGATGCATCGGATCGACGAGGGCGAACGGGGCGCGCGGCGCCGCGCCGGCTCTCTGGCCGGGGTCTGGCCTATTGGGACGACGGCGGGGACGGCCAGATCTTCTACGTGACGCCCGGGTATCGCCTCGTCGCGCTGGACGCGGCAAGCGGGCAGCGGATGAGCGCTTCGGTACCGACGGCATCGTCGATCTGAAGCTGGAGTTCGACCAGGACATCGACCTCGTCACCGGCGAGGTCGGTCTGCACGCCGCACCGGTCATCGCCAACAACACGATTATCATCGGCGCCGCGCACCGGCCCGGCACCGCACCGATGTCGAAGGCGAACGTCAAGGGTCACGTGCGCGGCTACGACACCCGCACGGGGGCGCGGAAGTGGATCTTCCACACCATCCCGGACGCCGACGAGTTCGGCAACGACACGTGGTTGAGCGACTCGTGGCAGTACACCGGGAATACCGGCGTCTGGGCGCAGATCAGCATCGACCCGGAGCTGAACATCGCGTACCTGCCGACCGAGACGCCGACCGGCGACTACTACGGCGGGCACCGCATCGGCGACAACCTGTTCGCGAACAGCCTGGTGGCCGTCGATCTCGACACCGGCGAGCGGATCTGGCACTTCCAGATTTCGCACCACGAGGTGTGGGACTGGGATCTGCCGGCCGCGCCGATTCTGGCCGACATCACGGTGGATGGCCAGGATATCAAGGCCGTGGCGCTGCCGACCAAGCAGGCCTGGATCTTCGCCTTCGATCGGGAAACGGGCGAGCCCGTATGGCCGATCGAGGAGCGTCCGGTCGCCCCGTCCGAGGTGCCGGGCGAGGTGCTGGCGCCGACACAGCCGTTCCCGACCAGGCCGCCAGCCATCGACCGGCAGGGGATCAGCGTCGACGACCTGATCGACTTCACCCCCGAGCTGCGCGCCGCGGCGGAGGAGATTGCCAGCCGCTACACGCTCGGTCCGATCTACACCCCGCCCACGCTGGCCGATCCGGAAGGCAGCGGAAACCTGGGCACGCTGATCCTGCCGGCCGCCACCGGCGGCGTGAACTGGCCCGGCGGGCGGTCGATCCCGAGACCGGGATCATGTACCAGTACACCAAGGCGCAGGTAACCGCGCTGCGGATGATCAACGACCCCGAGGTGTCGGACATGGACTACATCAGCGGCCGGCGCCTGCCGGGTGTCCGTCCGACCGACCTCGCGCTTACGATCGAGGGGCTGCCGCTCATCAAGCCGCCCTGGGCCCAGATCACCGCGGTCGACCTGAACAAGGGTGAGATCGTCTGGCAGGTGCCGCACGGCGAGACCGCGGACAACGTGCGGAACCACCCCAAGCTGCAGGGGCTCGACATCCCGCGGACGGGTCGGGTCGGCCGCATCGGCACGCTTGTCACCAAGACGCTGGTGGTGGCTGGCGAGGGCGGCGTGTTCACCACCCGTCCGGCGCCGAGGGCGCGATGCTGCGGGCGTACAACAAGGCGACCGGCGCCGAGGTCGGCGAAGTGTTCATGCCCGCCGGGCAGACCGGCACGCCGATGACCTACATGGTCGACGGCAGGCAGTACATCGTGGTCGCCATCGGCGGGGGCGGCAACGACTCCGAGCTGCTGGCGTTCCGGTTGTCGCAGTAGCCTGCGTTCCGCGCGGCTTGCGCCGGGTTGCGGCCGACATCTGCGCAGGCGGCGACGGTCTACCCGCTGTCCCGATCCGCCGCACGCCAAGGAGGACGCGCGTGACGACGAGCAATCGCATCGGCTTGGTGCTCTTGCTGCTGGGAGCGGGCCTGGCTCCGCTGGCGGCGCAGGACGGCGGTTGGACCCACTGGGGCGCGATCGCGGGCAGCCAGCGGTACACGCCGCACGCCCAGATAGACGCCGCCAACTTCGATAGCCTCGAAACCGCCTGGGTCTGGCGCGGGGACAACTTCGGCCCCGGCGTGGACTACATCCTCAGGTCAACGCCGATCTACGCCGAGGGAAGCTCTTCAGCGTGGCCGGACAGCGCCGCGCGGTGGTGGCGCTCGACCCGGCGACGGGCGAGACGCTGTGGACGTTCCGTGAACGGCCCACCAAGCGCTGGGCCGATTCGATGCGGAAGAACTACGGCAAGGGCGTCGCCTACGCGCGGGTGAACGGCGCCGGCCGCATCTACGTCGTGACGCCCGGCTTCTTCCTGCACGCGCTCGACCCCGCCAGCGGCCTGCCGATTGACGGCTTCGGCGACGGCGGCACCGTCGACCTGCTGGCCGACTTCGGCTACCCGTACCACCCGGAAGACGGGCTGCCGTCGGAGGTGGGATATATCACGAACTCGTCGCCCCCCATCGTGGTCAACGGCGTCATCGTGGTCGGCAACTCGCATGAGCAGGGCTACCGCCAGACGCGGCGGGAGAACGTGCCGGGCCACATCCTGGCGTACGACGCGGCGACCGGCGAGCACCTCTGGAAGTTCAACGTCATTCCGCAGTCCGAGAGCGAGTTCGGGTTCGACACCTGGGAAAACGACGCGTGGCAGTGGACGGGAAACGTCTCGGCGTGGGCGCCGCTGTCGGCCGACCCGGAGCTGAACCTCGTCTACATCGTGACGGACCCGCCCACCAACGACAGCTGGGGCGGCTTCCATCCCGGCCAGAACCTGTTCGCCACCAGCATCATCGCGCTGGACGTGCGGACCGGCGAGCGCGCCTGGCACTTCCAGACCGTCCACCACGACATCTGGAACTACGACAACCCGACTGCTCCCACCCTGGCGGACGTAACCGTGGACGGCCGGCGGATTCCGATTCTGGTCCAGACGACCAAGCAGGCGTTCGCGTACGTACTGAACCGGGAAACGGGGGAGCCGGTCTGGCCGATCGAGGAACGCGCCGTGCCGCGCGGCCACGTGCCGGGCGAGTACTACTCGCCGACGCAGCCGTTTCCCACGCGGCCTGCCGCCTACGAGATGCAGGGGATTTCCCCGGACGACCTGATGGACTTCACGCCGGAGTTGCGCCGGCGCGCACTCGAACAACTGGAGCAATACGAGTACGGCCCGCTGTTCACCCCGCCGCTGCATCGTGACAACGACCGGGGTAAACGGGCCACGCTGTTCTGCCCCGGCTACGGGGGCGGCACGAACATTCTGGGCGGCGCGTCGGTCGACCCCGAGACGGGCATCCTCTACGTCGCCTCGGTCAAGGGCTGCAGCGCACCCCTTCTGGTGCCCGGCGCCGAGGTCGACGGGGACGACCCGAACCCGATCGGCAAGACGGTCATGAAGTTTGTCAGCATGACGGGCGGCGGCGTGCCGCGCGTCGACGGCCTGCCGATCGTAAAGCCGCCCTACGGAAGGATCACGGCCATCGACCTGAACACCGGCGAGACGTTGTGGTGGATCCCCAACGGCGACACGCCGGATCGGTTCGTGGACCACCCGCTGCTGCAAGGCGTCGACCTGCCCAACACCGGACAGCCTTCGCACGCTACCACGCTCGCGTCCAGGACGCTGCTGATGTACGGCGAGGGGCGCGGCGGGCGGCCGCTGTTTCGCGCCGTGGACAAGCGGACCGGCGAGCGGCGGGGAACGGTGGAGCTGCCGGCGCCGTCGAACAGCGTGCCGATGAGCTACATGCACGAGGGCAAACAGTACATCGCCATCCCGATCGGCAACCGTGAACATCCCGGAGCGCTCGTCGCGCTCGCGCTCCCGGAGTAGATCAAACTGTCCGTGACCAGTCGTCTGCCGTGAAGATCCTCGCCGTCGGCGACATGCACCTCGGCCGCACGCCGTCGCGGCTGCCGCCGGACCTGCCCGCCGACCAGGTGAATCCAGCCGCCGCATGGCGCCGTACCGTGGACTTCGCGGTGGACCGGGGCGTGGCGTCCGTATTGCTGGCCGGCGACGTGGTGGACCACGACGACGACTTCTTCGAAGCGTACCGGGAACTGGAGCGCGGCATCCGAATGTTGGCGGACGCCAGCATTGGCGTTATCGGCGTCGCCGGCAACCATGACCTCAAGGTGCTGCCCCGGTTGGCCGGCAACCTCGATCAGTTCCGGCTTCTGGGTGGAGAAGGTGCATGGGAATCGGTCAGCGTCAGCGACGGCGCGGACGAGGTCACGGTGTGGGGCTGGTCGTTTCCGTCTAGCGGCACCGCCCCCAATCCGCTTGCCGGTTGGTCGTTCCCCTTGCCGCCCGGCGTAAACCTCGGGCTCCTCCACTGTGACCGCGACGGCGGTGCGGATTCGCGCTACGCGCCGGTAACGAGCCAGGAGCTGGAACGCGCCGGCCTAGACGGCTGGCTGCTGGGACACATCCACAAGCCGGACCCGCTGAGCGCGGCGGCGCCGAGCGGCTACCTCGGCAGCCTGACCGGCCTCGACCGTAGCGAAACCGGTCCTCATGGCCCCTGGATGATCACGGTCGCAGACGGTCGAATTGTCGCGGTGGAACAGTGCCTGCTCGCGCCGTTGCGCTGGGAAACGCTGTCCGTCGAACTGACCGGCATCAAGGATGCAGCCGAGAGCCGCGACCGGCTACTGGCAGCGGCGAAGCTGCTCGACCGCGAACTCGCCGCCGATTCTGCCGATCCCGTCGCCGTAGGGCTGTGTGTCACGCTTACGGGGCGAACGCGGTTCGGCAACGCCGCGCTCGACGAGCTGTCCGCGCAGGACGGGTGCGAAGTCCTGACCGGCGCGTTTGGCGCGCGCTACTTCATTCGGCAGCTGTCTGTAGACACCCGGCCCGACATCGAGCTGAACGTGCTGGCCGGCCGACCGGACCCGGTGGGACTGCTCGCCGCGCGGCTGCTTTGGCTCGACCGGCCGGTGGGAGACGCCGACCGGGAGCGCCTGTTGAACGCGGCGCGGGAGCAGCTTCGCGTCCAGGCCGCCAGCAGCTTGTGGCAGCACCTGGAAGCGAGTGGCGAGCCGGACCCCGAAGAGTGGATACGACAGGCTGGTATGCGTGCGCTGGACCACCTGCTGACTCAACTCGCTGACGACGGAACGACTGGCTGATGCAGCTCCGGTCGCTCACCATTCGCACGCTGCCCGGCATCGCGCCCGGATTCACATTCGAGCCGCCGGACAGCGGCGTCACCATCGTCGTCGGTCCCAATGGTAGCGGTAAGAGCAGCTTGGCCCGCGCCCTCAAGCACCTGCTGGTCAGTGAACCGTCGGACCCGCCCGCGGTGTCTCTCGACGCGGAGTTTGACAGCCCCGACGGCCACTGGAAGGTGACGCGCAACGGCCGCCAGATCGTGTGGTGGCGGGACGGTGAGCAGGCATCGCCTCCCGCGCTGCCCACGGCCGACCAGATTGGGCGCTACCGCCTGTCAGTTGAAAACCTGCTCGACGCCGGCGACGCCCTGGACAGTGATCTGGCAGCGCGACTACAACGCGAACTGCACGGCAACTTCGACCTTGGCGCGGTGCATCGTGCGCTGGCAGTCAGGCCGCGGCACGGCTCGACTGAGGCGAAGGCACTGGCCGGCGCCGGTCAGGCGCTCCACAGGGTACAGAGCGAGTACGCCGCCCTGCGCCAGCAGGAACAGCGCCTGCCCGGACTCGAGTCACGGATCGCGGCGGCGCTGGCGGCGCGCGCGCACTGCGACTGCCTCGAGCAGGCGCTGAAGTTAACCAACGCGGTCGATGACGTGCAGAAACGCATCGCGGCGCTCCGCGGCTATCCGCCCCAGCTCGACCGTCTCGCCGGTGATGAGTTGGAGCAGCTTGACGGGTGGGAGCGCAAGGCTGCGGGCCTACGCGAGGGTGCGCGGAGCGAGGAACGCACCCGTGCAGCAGCAGCGGCTCGGCTCGAGGAAACCGGCCTCGCGCAGCCGGGGCCGGCGGACGAGGACGTCCGGACCACCGAGCGGTGGTTGGTGGCCCTTCGCGAACAGCGCGTCAAGTGCTCGAATATCGAAGAGGAACGGGCCAAGACTGGCGCCCAACTGCAGGCCGTGCTTTCGCAATTCAACACCGGTGGTGACCCGCCAACCCTCGACGCTGGGGCGTTCGAGCGAGCCGCGAAGGTCGCGCAGCCGTTGGTCGCCGCGCGCACGCGGCAGACCGAACTGCGGGAACGGCTCGCCCTCGCAGGCGATTCGCCCGACGACGCGGCAATCGAGCGATGCAGGGCGGCGGCCGAGGCTCTGCGAGCCTGGCTCGCTGCCGCCGACGCCGAGGGGGAGCGCACGCGGCAAGCGTCGCGTGGTTGGCCGCTTATCACGTCACTCGCGGCCGCCGTTGCGGCAGTCGTCGCTGCGGCCGTCGAGGGAGCACTCGGCGCGCTGGTCGCAGCGCTCATCGCCGCCGCGGCATCTGCCTTCGCCCTGTTCCGGCGGCGCGAACAGCAGCAGCCTCCTCCAACCGACGCGGCGAGGCGTCGCTTCGACGAATTGGAGCTCACGCCGCCGGTTGGCTGGGACCGGCCCGCGGTGCGACGACGACTCGGAGAGGCCGAAACCCGGCTCAACCAGATGACCATGCAGCGGGACAGGGCGTTGGCGGTGGCCAGCCTCGAACATCAGCTTGGGGAAACGGTGCAGCAGATCGAGACCCTGGAATTAGAGAAGTCCGCTCTGGCGCGCGAGATCGGCTTCGACCCCGAACTGCCGGCTGTCCAGTTCGAACTGTTCGTCCGTCGCTGCGCCGAGTGGAACAAGGCGCAAGTGGCTCACGCACAGCAGAGCGCGCGTCTGTTGAAGATCGAACAGCAGATCGTCGACGGCGCTGGACGGGTTCACGAGTTTCTGGCAGCATGGCGGGCAGAGGATGATCCGGAACTGGCTGACCCGAGTGGCCCGGTCGACATCGACCGCCTCGACAGCGCTTTCGACAGCCTCCGCAAGCGGATTGACGCGGCAAGCGACGCGCGACGCGCGACCAGCGCCTGCGACACAACCCTGCAGGCACTGCGGGAGCGGATCGCCGACGCTGAAACCCAGGTGCGGACGCTGTATGCGCGTGCCGGCATCGAACTTGGCGATCGCCCGACGCTCGCCAGCCACCTGGAGCAGCTGGAGGACTGGAAGGCGGCCAGCCGCGCCCTCGCCGGCGCTAAATCGGTGGAAGCGCACCTGCGCGCCCAGCTCGGCGAACATCCGGAGCTCGTCGCAAGGGTTGACGCAGGGCAGCGGGACGAGCTGAAGGCGGCGCTCGATGCGTCCCGCCTCGGTGCGGACAAGTACGAGACATTGATTGGAGACAGGCAGGACATCGTCACGAGTCTCGATGCCGCAGGCGGCGACCGGCGACTGGAACAGGCGGCAGCCAAGAAAGCAAAGGGCGCAGCAGGCGCTGGAGGACAAGCGCGACGAGGCTCTGCTGGCAGCAGCGGCCAGGCGGTCTGCGCCTCCATTCTCCCAACGAGGTGGAAACAGCGTTCGTTGCGCAGCATGAACCGGTCATCCTACAGCGGGCTCGGTCCCTGTTCGCCGCGGTGACCGCCCACGACTTCGACCTGGAGCTGCCCCGCAACGGGACCTTCATCGCCCGCGATCGCCGACAGGACGCGCCGCGCACCCTAGACGAACTGTCGTCAGGCACCCGCATGCAACTACTGCTCGCGTTGCGCCTAGCCTGGGCCGAAGCGCAGGAACAGGGCGCCGGCCCGCTCCCCTTGTTTCTCGACGAGGCGCTGACAACGAGCGATGAAGATCGTTTTGCCGTGGTGGCCAGAAGCCTAGAACGGATTGCCGGCGCCGGGAACGACAGGAGGCAGTTCTTCTACCTGTCCGCCCGGAGGCACGAGCCGGCGCTTTGGCGGGAGGCCACCGGCACAGATCCAGCCGTGGTCGACTTAGCCGTCGTGCGCTTCCGGTCGGCGGCGCTTTCGCCGAAGCAGTATCACGTGGAACTGCCCCCGCCGGTACCCGCCCCGTGCGGTGAGAGCGCCGAGGCATACGCCAACCGTCTTGGCGTTCCGCGGATCGACCCGTACCAGCCGCCGGCCGGCATTCATCTTTTTCATCTACTCCGCGACGACCTGACGCAACTCCATACGCTGATGGATACATGGCGCATCGCGACCGTCGGCCAGCTTGAGGGGCTGCTGAAGAGCGACGCAGCCGACGACGCGGCCGGAGGCATCGAACGACTGCGCCAACTCCAGCAGCGTGCGCGAGCGGTGCTGATTTGGGTCGAGCTGTGGCGTCAGGGCCGGGGCCAATCGGTGGACCGGGCGGCGCTGGAGCAATGCACGGCCATTTCGGAGGTGTTCATCGACCGCGTTGCCGACCTCGCCGAACGCCTACACGGTGATGGGAGAGAGCTCGTCGCAGCTTTGCGTGCGGGACGTGTGCGCTTCCATTCCACAGCACACCACCACCATCAGGAGACCGGCGAAATCGCACAGAGTGCTGTGTCCGACGAGGGCTACAATCGACGACAGGAACGGCTGACGGTCAACGACCGCCGCCGCAGGTTGGACTCCTGCGGCGCGTGTGCGCCTGCTGCACGGAAACCGCGCCGTGCGCGACGTCCAGAGCGCGGTCGTCGATTTGCTTGGAATCTGCTGTCCACTGCTGAGAGCGGCCACGGAAACCGGCGACTGAGCGCACCCGCAGCAACCGGCGGATTCAATCCCGCAGCGGCGGCGCCGCCTCACCGTCCGGGACGAACGCCAGCGCCTCACCGTTGTTGCAATAGCGCCGGCCGGTCGGCGGCGGGCCGTCCTTGAACACATGGCCACTGGTGGCCGCCGCAGCGAATGCAGTGGTACTCGGTCCTGGGCAGGATCATCTTGTAGTCGGTCTGGGTCCCGATGCGGCCCTCGATCGCCTGGAAGAAGCTCGGCCACCCCGTGCCGCTCTCGTACTTCGCCGACGACTCGAAGAGCGGCAGGTGGCAGGCCGCGCAGACGAATGTGCCGGCGCGATGCTCCTGATTGAGCGGGGCTCGTGCCGGGCGGCTCGGTGGCATGCTTGAACAGAATCGCGAACGCCGCGGGCGGCAGCAGCTCGCGCCACGCGCGCAACGGCTTCTCAAGCTTTGTAATGGGTTCCGTCATCGAAGGCTCCAGCAACATCAACGCAGTAGTTACTCATCAGTCTACCCCGATCGACCGATACCTCTGATGTGCCGCCCTTGGCGGCGGCGCGGGCCGAATGATCGGCTGCTATGATGGCGTCATGACGATGCGGAGCGGCAGCGGCCTCGACGAATCGCCCGATCTGCTGAAGAAACCAGCGGAAACGGGCGCCGTATCGCCCCCTGCCCGCGGCCATCAGGAACCGGCGCCTGACCTCGCCGATCCGCACTTCTACATCAACCGCGAGCTGAGCTGGCTCGAGTTCAATCAGCGCGTCCTGCTGCAGGCGCTGGATCCGACGCATCCCCTGCTGGAGCGCGTCAAGTTCCTGTCCATTGTCGCCACCAACCTGGACGAGTTCTTCATGGTGCGGGTCGCCACGCTGTTGCGCAAGTTCCGCGCCGACTCCATCGACGTATCGCCGGACGGCCTCGATACGGAGCAGCAGCTCGCCGCCATCCGCGCGCGCGCCTCGCGGATCATGCGCGAGATGTCGCGCTGCTGGACCACCGTGTTGCAGCCGGCGCTGGCGGAGCACGGCGTCGTGTTCCTGGAGCGACCGGAATACACGGACGCGATTCGCGCCTGGCTGCGAGACTACTTCCGCGAGAACGTGCACCCGGTGCTGACGCCGCTGGCGTTCGACCCCGGGCATCCGTTCCCGTACATCTCCAACCTGAGCATGAATCTCGCGGTCGTGGTGCGCCATGGCGGCCGCACCCGGTTCGCGCGCGTCAAGCTGCCGGACCTGCTGCCGCGGTTCATTCGGCTGCCGCCCGAGGTCTCGGGCCAGCGGAAGGAGACCTTCGTCTTTCTGGAGGATGTGGCGCGGGAACATATCGGGATGCTGTTTCCGGGCGCCGCGCTGCAGGGCGTCCACCTGTTCCGCGTCGTCCGCGACACGGACATGGTGATCCAGGAGGACGAAGCGGACGACCTGCTGGAATCCGTGGACCGGACCCTCAAGGAGCTGCGCTACGGTTCACCGTCCCAGCTCGTGGTGGAATCGACCACGCCCGACCGCGTCGTCAACATCCTGCTCGAGAACTTCGAGATCGACGATGACGTGGTCGAGCGCGCGCCGTCGCGCATGGGGTACGGGCACTGGCTCGAGCTGGTGCGCCTCCATCGCCCGAAGCTCAAGGATGCGCCGTTCTCTCCGCGCCCCCACTGGTCGAACGACAACCTGGACTCGATCTTCGACGAGGTGCGCGAACGCGACATCCTGGTCCACCATCCGTTCGATTCGTTTGCGTCGGTGGAGGCGTTCCTGCGGGCCGCGGTCGGAGATCCCCAGGTCATCGCCATCAAGATGACGCTGTACCGGATCGGGTCGAACTCGCCGCTGGTCGACATGCTGATCGAGGCGGCCGAGGCGGGCAAGCAGGTGGCGGTGCTCGTCGAGTTGAAGGCCCGCTTCGACGAGCGGAACAACATCGTCTGGGCGCACCGGATGGAGGCGCGGGCATTCACGTCGTCTACGGCATGGTCAACCTGAAGACCCATTGCAAGCTGTGTCTCGTCGTGCGCAAGGAGATCGAAGGGATCGTGCGCTACGTGCATACCGGGACCGGCAACTACAACCGGGTGACCGCGCAGGTGTATACCGACATCGGGCTGTTCACGGCCAACCCGGCCATCGTCACCGAGGTGAGCGACGTCTTCAACTACCTGACCGGCTACTCCAACAAGAAGGACTACGAGGAGCTGCTCGTTGCGCCCCTCAACCTGCGCGCGCAGTTCACGCGCTCATCGAGCGCGAGGCCGACCCACGCCCGGGCCGGACGGCCGGCGCGCATCATCGTCAAGAACAACTCCGTGGCCGATCCGGAAATGATCCGCGTCTGTACCGGGCGTCCCGCGCCGGCGTGCGGATAGACATGATCGTGCGCGGCGTGTGCTGCCTGCGGCCGGGCATCCCGGGCGTGAAGCGACAACATCCAGGTGCGGTCGATCGTCGGGCGCTTCCTGGAGCACTCCCGGTTCTACTACTTCGAGAACGGCGGCAGCCCGGAGCTGCTCATCGGCAGCGCGATCTGATGGAGCGCAATCTGGACCGGCGCGTCGAGGTGCTGTGCTTCGTCCGTGATCCAGCGCTCCGGAATCAACTCGTCAACGAGGTGCTCGAAACCCTCCTCCATGACAGTTGCCGCGCGATGCAGCTGAGCACCGACGGCAGCTACCACATGGTGGAAGGCGCGCCCGGGGCGCCCGCGACCGACGCCCAGGCCGAGCTGCTCGCGCACGCCAGCGCGGACGGCCCGCGAGGACGAGGGCCCGCCGTCAGCCGGGATGCATCGCCCGTCGAACAGGATTGACTTCTTACTGCGACCGGTATACTTACTGGAGTCTGCGAAGGAGGACTGTCGCATGCTGACAGATCCGTCGTACCAGCCTGTCTGCTTCTCGCCGTTGTCGTTCTGCTGGCGCCGGCCGTCGCTGCCGGACAGGACGGAACGTTTACGCAACCCCGGACGTCGTGGGGCCATCCCGACCTGCGCGGCCACTGGCTGCCGGGCACCGCCGCGCCGATGGAGACGCCCAGCAGCGGCGAGCCCTGGGTTCGTTCGGAGGAAGAACGCCAGTTGGGTCCAGGATTCAGGTTCTTCCCCGGCCACTCCGATGCCCCGGACATCGTGCGCCAGGAACGGCCGATGGTGGTGGATCCACCGGACGGCAAGATTCCGCTGCAGGCCTGGGCGGCGGATAGACGGGACGAGATCATGGCGAAGCGGGACGACTGGAGTTCCTCGACCCGCGCGTCAAGTGCCTTCCGGCCGCCGTGCCGCGGGCAACCTGCCGGTCGGCTACAACACCTATCAGTTTCTGCAGACGCCCGAGGCGGTCATCCTGCTCTACGAGTGGAATCACCTGTTCCGGTACATCCCGCTCAATGGGCGCCCGGCCGTTGCGTCGGACATCCGCCTCGGCATGGGCGACTCACGTGGTCGCTGGGAAGGCGACACGCTGGTGGTCGAGGTGTCCAACTTCACCGAAAACACCTGGGTCGTCGGACATGGGGCGCCGGCGTGAGAACGCGCCGGCCAGCACATTCACGTCGGGCCACGGCGTCTTCCACAGCGACGAGCTGAAGGTGGTCGAGCGGTTCACTCTGACCGACGCGGACACGATCCACTACGAGGCGACCATCACCGATCCGAAGGTGTTCACGCAGCCGTGGACCATCTCGTACAACGCCTTCATGCGCGGCGAAGAGGATCACATCCTGTATGAGTACGCGTGCCACGAAGGGAACGCCCGCAACCTGAAGCTCATGACCGGCACCGATGCGCCGACCAGCGTGGCGCTGGGCCACGTCCCAACGGTGAGCCGGTAGAAAAACGTAGGAGGAACACACGATGCGCACCACCATCTTTGCCGCACTGCTCGGCCTGGGCCTGCTGCTGGCCACGATGCCGCCCGCCGTGGCCCATCACGCGTTCTCGGCCGAGTTCGACGCCGACCGGCCGATGCAGCTCCACGGCACCGTTACCCGCACCGAGTGGATCAACCCCCACTCCTGGATTCATATCGACGTCACCGACGACAACGGCAACGTCGAGAGCTGGGCTATCGAGTGCGGCGCGCCCAACGCGCTGATCCGCCGCGGCCTCAACAAGAACTCGGTCCCGGCCGGCACCGAGCTGGTGGTCGACGGCTTCGGCGCCAAGGACGGCTCGAACACCGCCAACGCGCGCGACATCACCCTGCCCGACGGCTCGCAGTTCTACGTCGGCTCGTCCGGAACGGGCGCACCAGGGCAACCGTAGCTGCTACGGGGGGTCGGCCGGCGATGCATCCCGCCTGGCGGCGATGCTCGTCGGCCACCGGACTCCCCCGTCCGCTCCCTCCTCGCGCCTTGCCATACGGGCGCCTCACCAGCCACTTGCTTGTGAGTGAGTAGTCTCACTTGTGAACAGGGCAGCCATAGCTTCAGCGGGGGAGCGGCCGGCGAGGGTCAGGTTCCTGGTTCAGAACCGGAACAGACGGTTGAACTTGACGATGAACGCCCGGCTCTCCAGTTCGGGATACCGGCGCCGCAGCGTGTCGCGCTGCTCGTTGTATACCACGAACAACTCGCTGCCCGGCTGGTACTCCCAGCGCAGCCTGACGTTGGCCGCCACGGCACGGCTTACCGAGTCGTACTGCAGCAGCGCGCTGGTGAACATCTTCGGCGACAGCGTGTAGATGACGCGCGACCACACCAGGTGCGTGATGAACTCCCCTTCCCGCAGGTCGACCCGGTTGAACGAATACGACGGCTCGACGGCGAACCGCGGCGTGAGCGCCAACCGCCCCCGGGTGACGGTGAGGGCCGTCTTGCGGCCGCTGTAGAACGTGCCGTGCTCGACCAGCACGCTGCCGGACAGCGGGCGCTGCTGGCCGAATGTGAAGCGGGCGCGCGCGGCCTCGAAGTCATAGCCGCCCGTCGGCAGCACCACATCCGGCGCGATCTTGAACGGTGCGGGCAGATACTCGTAGATCCGCGTGTAGATGAAGCGGAACCGATCGCCGTTCTCGAACTCGATGCCGAACTCGGCGTCCTGCTCGCGGGTTTCCGGACGGCCCGCCGTATCTCGATGTAGTCGACCGACCCGCTCCACGACAGCTTCCGAATCGCATCGCGGCCAGGCAGCCGCGGGCTGAACCGCAGCCGCGCGGCGCTCTTGCGCATGTCGCGGCGGCGCACGAAGCCGACTCCGGATTGAAATCGTCGCCCACCAGCAGATGCTCGCCGTTACGCCGTAGCGGTCGCCGTTGTAGTCGAGGTTGCCGCGGTAGCTTGATTCGTCGCCCACTCGTTCGCCGGTCCACGTCCGCGCCCAGTACGCATCGATGGAGAGCCGGTTCTCGAAGAGGAGAAGGCCCGTCGGCGCCCAGCGCCGTGTTGCCGCCCGGTGCGTCGAGCGCCACCGAGCGCCCGCTGACCAGCAGTCCGATGCTGCTCTGCCGCAGCACGTCGCGCTTGAGCCGGGCCACCGAAAATCCCGTGGACCGCGCCTGCGCCGCCGGCCGCGCCGGTGCGGATGTGCAGCACACCCAGATCGAAGCCGCCGACCCGGCCGGTCATCCGCCCGCCGGCGCGGATCGGGACCTGGCGGGTGCTCTGCAACCCGTGCAGCCCGATCCGCCGGCTATAGAAGGGATGGGTATCGCCGCCGCCGCCGCCGAATCGAACGTGCGCCGGTTCTCCAGGAAGAACTCGCGCTTCTCCGGAAAGAACAGGCTGAAGCGCGTGAGGTTCACCTGCAGCTCGTCCGCTTCGACCTGCGCGAAATCCGTATTGGCGGTGAAGTCGACCGTCAGGTTGCGGCTCAGCCCGTACTTGACGTCGAGACCGACGGCGGCGCCCGGATCGTTCGCCAGCGGCGGAACGGCGGTTGCGTCGGTGGTCAGATCGGCGACAACGTACGGTTTCACCTCGATATTGCGGGACTCGGGTGGAACCTCCACACCCACCAGCGGCGCCGTCAGCGCCGGGCGCAGGCCGAGCCGCCCGACGCCGGCCGAGATGGGCGAGAGATACGAAAACTCGTTCCTCCAGACGTTGCTGCGGCGGATGTTGAAGCCCCACACCTGGACTGGTCCGGGGCGGTAGCGCAGCGACTTGAACGGCAGCGCCGCCTCGACGATCCAGCCGCCCTCGAATCGCTCTACCGCGAGATCCCACACCGGATTCCAGTCGAAGTTCGTCTGGCCTTCGTTGGTCGACTGGCCGTCCAGGCGCCCGCCGAGCGGGTTGACCTCGAAGAAGTAGCCGGTCCGGCGGTCGAAGAAGGTGTCGAGACCCCAGGCGAGGTTGTCGTTCGAACCGATGTTCAGGTTGTCCCGCCGCATCTCGCTGAACATCATCCGTTCCGGGCGGCTCTCCCAGCAGCGCGCCACGATGTACAGATGGTCGTCGTCGAACAACAACCAGACCTCGGTCTTCTCGGATGCCGGCGCGCCCTCGGACGGCTCGGTCTGCACGAAATCGGTCATCGCCGCCACGGCGGCGTACACCGGCTCGTCGAGCCGGCCGTCAATCTGCGGCGGCGTGTCGACGCGCGACGGCGCGCAGCGTGACGCGGCCGGCGGCGTCGCGCGCGACCACTGCCGGCGGGACGGGCGGCGCGGACCGTCGATGGTGGCGAGCAGGTCGATCGCGAGTCCACTACGGCCGACAGCGCTCTGCTGGGCCGCCGCGGCCGGGGCAAGCAGCAGCACTGCGGCAGCCAGCGCCGCGGTCGTCGCGGGCCGGCGGAATCTGCATTGCCACGCTTGCATCGACATGTGTGCGGGTAAACGTGGGAGTGTAGCAGCCGCAACGGGCGGGCATGGCCGCCGGTGGGCGCGAGTGATATGCTGCGCCGTGCGAGGAGGAACTGCGATGAACTGGATGGTCAAGACCGGAGCGCTCGTGGTGGCGCTGGCGATGGTGGCCTGCGGCGGCGCGCCACCCGCGGATGAACCGATGCCCGAGCCCGAGGCTGCGCCGGCGGCGTCAGGCCCCGGCTTCCCGACGTTCGAGCCGGATCCGGACTGGCCGGACCTGCCGAACAACTGGATCACGGGCGAGGTGTCGTCCGTTGCGGTCGACCGGCGCGACCATATCTGGGTGCTGCACCGCCCGCATACTGCGGCGGAGGAGAATCGCGACAATGCGGCGCCTCCGGTCCTCGAGTTCGATGACACCGGCGCGTTCGTCAACGCCTGGGGCGGCCAGGGCGACGGGTTCGACTGGCCCTGGAACGAGCACGGTCTGTTCGTGGACCACAACGGTCACGTCTGGATCGGCGGCAACAACCCGACCGGAGGCACCCCCCAGTCGCCGGTCGAAGACAACATGCTGCTGAAGTTCACGAACACCGGGGAACTGCTGCTGCAGATCGGTGGGCGGGATCTGGGCAGCGGCAATCTCACCACCGACAGCGTCCGGAAGTCGGCGGAGATGTTCGTCTACGAGCCGACGAACGAGGTGTTCGTGGCCGACGGCTACGGCAACCGCCGGGTCATCGTGTTCGATGCCGACAGCGGCGAGTTCAAGCGGATGTGGGCCGCCTTCGGCAAGGAGCGAGGCGATACGGAGCCGGAGGCCGACCCGGACGACCCGAACGGTCCGCCCTGGTTCGGCACGGTGCACGGCATCGAGGTATCGAACGACGGGCTCGTCTACGTTGCGGACCGGAACAACAGCCGCATTCAGGTGTTCGACCTGGAGGGGAACTACCAGCGGCAGGTCTTCGTCAACCCGGACGAAGGGCGTTCGCTGACCTGCGCCGGCCTGGCGTTCTCGCCCGATCCGGAGCAGACGTACCTGTACGTCGCCGACCAGGCGAACCTGCACATCCACGTGCTGAACCGCCAGACGCTCGAGGTGCTCGACACCTGGGGCGAGCTGGGCACGGAGCCGGGCAACTTCGACGCGCTCCACCACATTGCCGTCGACAGCAAGGGCAACCTGTACACCGCGGAAGCGCAGCGCAACCACCGGGCGCGGCGGTTCCTGTTCGCGGGGATGTCGCAGTAGACCCCGCCGGCGGCGTGCCGCCTGGCGAGTGAGCGGTGGTCCCAAGGCCCGCACGGCGGGCCTCGGCGGCGCGGCGCGGGGTACGTGTTCAACACTAGGTCTGGTCTAGTGCTTCCGTGGTGTCGGGGGCGCAGCCCCCGTCTAGCAATGATGATCCAGTGCGGGCACTTGACGGTGTCCGCGTAGAGCCGCTCGCAGTCGTCGCACCGCACGCACTCGGTCATGACGATCTGCGGCCCGCGAATCGCGCCCCATTCGCAGGTCTTCTCGCAAATCTTGCAGGTGTTGCACTCGGACCAGCGTTTGATCCCGAACACGGTCAGCTTCGACAGCAACCCCAGCGCGGCCCCCACGGGGCAGAGGAAGCGGCAGTAGAGGTTGCGGACGAAGACGGTGGCCGCAAGCAGCACTCGCCAGCCCGATCCACATGCCGGTCGAGGCCTGACGGGTGAACATCCAGAACGGCTCGACGTAGCGGTAGGCTCCGATATCCGCCGTCAGCAGGAAATAGAGGAGCGTGGCGCCGAGCAGCCCGAACTTCACCAGCGCCGCGCGCCGCTCCAGCCATTTGGGCACGTCGACGCGCAGCCGCGCGGGCACGATCCGGTCCATCAACTGCGTCAACGCGCCGTACGCGCAGACCCGGCCGCAGTAGAGACGCCCCCACAACACGGTCGAAACGAGCGTGAAGCCGGCGAACAGGTACCACGCGAGGCTGTACTTGAAGACCGGCAGATTCCCGGTCAGCACTGCGTATATGTTGACGACCGAGATCAGCTGGCTCTTCGAGAATCCGAGATAGGCGACCGCCGCCACGAGCGTGACGTACTTGAGCCGGACGCTCTTGCGGAAGAAGCTGATTAACGCGAGCGTCGCGAAGGCGACGAACAGCAGCAGGTCACCCGCCTGGTCGCGCAGCAGCGTGCCCCAGGTCTCCACCTCCTCCTCTTCGTCCTCGAACTGCCAGAGGTCGACGGCAGGATCCGGCTGTGCGGGTAGCGCAGGCTGGGGCTGCGCGGAAAGGAGGTCCGCAGCCGGGACGAGCAGCAGGGCGCACGTGCCGGCGAGCAACACGAGGCGCCGCATCAGCGTGCTTCCGGCGGCCTGAGGAACTGCCGCGCGATGCGCCGCGAACCGTTGCGCACCGCCCGCGTCGCGCTGGTCACGGTCAGCGTCGCGGTCGAGACGGCGTCGATGTCGCCGCCCACGCGGAACCGGTCACGGACGCTCTTCTGCCGGAACTGCACCGCGTATTTCGGCAGGTCGATGGAGAAGTAGCCGTACGGCTCGTGGTGGTCGACTACCACGATGCCGGTCAGGACGCCGTCGGTGTCGACCCCCGTCAGGATCTTGATCGGCCCGTCGTACCCGCGTTCGAGCGGCTCGAGCTCGGTGGTCCAGAACGCGTAACCGAGCAGCTTCCGTGCTCCCCCGGGGGCACCCGCGAACGCCTTGAAGTGCGGCGGCGCCCCTTCCTTCGGCGAGAACGCCGTGGCCTCCGGGAACAGCTGCGCCAACTGCTCCTGCAGCCGATCGTCAACCGGGGCCTGCGCCGCCGCAAATGCGGCGGCAGCCAGCGCAAGCGTTATGGTCAGGATCCTTATCGGGCGCACCATGCCGGAAGGGCGATTATGCGGTGCGGCGGTCATGCGGTCAAACCTGGCGACCGCCTGTATAGAATCACAGCGAGAGGAGGGCGTATGTCACGGACTCGGCAGGTCGCGGCGGGGATAGTGCTGGCCTGGTGCTGCGCGGGCAGCCTCGCGGTCCAGGGCGCTAGCGCGCAGGGCGATCGGCTCGCGGAAGCGCGCAGCCTCGATTGCACGTTCACGCTGATAGCGACCGGGACGTGGACCGACGGCGCGCCGGAGGCGGAGCTCGACGCGTCGGAGCTGTCCTTCCGCTTCGAGGCCATCGACACGCAGGAAGCACCGCCGAGGTGATCGGCCCGTTCGGCCCGTCGCACATCATCACGCGACTGACCGGCGACTACCTGCACTTTCTGCAGATGTTCAGCGCGGGACCGCTCTACAGCACCACGATCTTCGACCGGGAGACGGTGGACGGCAAGCTCATGGCCTGCCATGAGCGGCACGAACAAACACCGTAGCAGTCCTGCGTGATCGGGTACACGTCGCGATATCCTCGCGAACAGTACTACTGACGGACAGCTATGCGCGAAACATCGGCGCTAATCCGCCCGCTGGCAAGGCGCGCAGAGCTGAGCAGAGCAATCGGACCGGTGGGCAGTGACGAACAGGCCGCGCACGGCGCGGCCCGGCAAGCCGGATTGCGCGGGGCGACGGGCACCCACGCTAGAGCTTGCCGACTTGGGCGCAGCATCTATCAAAAGATGGCCAGCGGGTTCACCGGCGAAACCTTCCGCCCGCCAGGCCACACGCAACGGCGAGATCACAATCATGAAGTACCAATCGATTGAGCTGGCGGGTGTATTGTGTGGCCGTCTTCCTTCCTCCGCCTCCTCTATATCGCTTTTTGTCAAGCGGTTCATCCCCCGCCGCGACGATGGCTAACGGTGAATCGATTGAAGCCGAGACCCGCACGGTGGCGGGCGCCTCGTGCACCGAGTCTGTGCGCCGGAGGGCGATGGTCGCGCTCCGGCCCATCCAGCTCGCATCCCGATGCATCCCACCCGGACATTCTCCGCGGCGCCCATCGCTTTTCCCGAACTTGTGCCCCACAGGCCGTGCGTTCATCATCAGCGC